AATACCAGGTATGAACAGAGGTATTTAAATGTTGAGAAACAAGCTCACTGGCCACTGAGATGACAGCAACTAATAACCTGTGTCATGTAGATTTAAGCAGATTGTAAAGAACTTATCGGCCCGGATGCCCTACACTGTTAACCCTTACTGTAGATTATGCAGTAAATAACTGTAAAATAGCCAGTGTTTTGCTGTATTAAAAGGAAACAGTATTTTACTGTAAAAGGAGCAGATTTTGCATGAAATTTTGTAGTGCAAAGAATAAATTACAGTAATTTACTTTATGTACCCATTACAGATAGTTACTGTGATAATAAATGGTAAATTACTGCTCAACCATTATTACCCCATGTACTGCTTTATGTTGCTATATATATATATATATATATATATATACTGTTCAGTTTTGGTATGTGTATAGTCAGTATTGAGGAGAAAGTGAGACAATGCATTGATGATAAGCTAAATTTCTCTGCAGCCATCTCTGTGTTTTCTTTGGTTCCTTTTATGTTTTTAACATTGAGTATCAGGAGTCAACCAATGTCAATGTCACAGAGCTAATTAAAAGGTAAAGATATCGACGAGATGCATTTAAAGGCAAAAATATTCACACAGAGCAACCAAATTATCACAATCATTTTTATAACTTTGTTTACTTTTCTATAATTAATTTAATTTGCCTAGTTTAGCCAATAGTTAAGCTTTTAAATTGCGCTTTAAGCTTAATATTAGTATTTTGCTAAATAACTAGTAAAAATGTGTTATTTAAAAAATATGTTAAACAGCACGTACATACATTTTCGCAGAGACTCAATGAATTTGTTTGGAAAACTTCAAATGAAGTTGGTAAAAATGGCATTAACAGTATAGTATAAAGACTTTCCTAAATAAATGTATTAATCAGGTTATTTGTTTATTATTATTATTATTACTACAGGTTGGAACAACATGAGGATCAGATTATTTATTTATTTTTTATTTTTTTGCTTAGGATGACGTTTGTATATTGTTTGTATATTATTGTTTTTATTCAATGATATGTGCATGATTGTGATAAATGTAGGCAATTCCTTTGAAAATATGCTATGTACCAAGGATGTCAAACTCCTGGAGGGCTGCAGCCCAGCAGAATTTAGTTCCAGCCCTGCTTCAACACACTACCTTTAGATTTAGTTTGATCAGGTGTGTTTAATTAGTATAACTGCACTCTTACTCTGTAGATTGTGCAGTAAAGAACTGCAAAATAGCCAGTGTTTTGCTGTAATAAAAGAAAACATTTATTATTTATTAACACATTATTTTACTGTGAAAGGAGTAGACTTTGTATGAAATTGTTTAGTGCAAAGAATTAATTCCAATAAATTCTCTGATGGTTTATGTTGCTATTTATAGAGACGTGCATTTTAAAGGCAGAAAATAATGATTTAGGCATCACCATACACTCCCACAGGCTGTCTGTCTTATTCTAAACACAAAGGTGTTAGAAATAGTTTTCAGAAAATGCTGGCCCTTTAAGGGAGCCAGGTGTTTGATTTGTTTACTGCTGAGTGTGCTCTATTCTCTGTCCATCAATTCAGATGTAGAGTCTGATATGTTTTAGGCTTTAAATAAGAAATCTACAATGAGTAAGTAAAAGGTGTTCAAATGTTTTTGAGGGTTTCTAAAATAAGGCTGTGTTTCAAGTTATATTGTTGTTATCTTGAACTGTGTACTTGAAAGCTACATTGTTAGCTAGTTAGCCTCTCCTCATATAACTTCTTACATTACTTTTGTTTAAGTATTTATTGGATATTGCATACTGCCATAATGTACAGATGCTAACAGTTGTATGTATCTTTCTGGCAACTAAGCCAAAATTAAATTCCTTCATCTCAGTAAGGTAACGTGCACATCATCACAGGGAATCACAAAAACATGATACACAGCCATCCACACACAAAAGCTCCACTGTCCGGTCCCAGGTTGTGAGTTTGTTGAAAAGTATTTTTCAGAGCAGTGTTTCCACCTATGAATTTATATTAGAAACAATAATAAAGTTTGTTGTCATGAGATAATTATAACAATAAAAGATTGGATCCTTTGGTTTTTTGGTGTTTAAACTTTTTATTGAGATTTAACACAGTTTTTAATTATTTAAAACTTTAAACTTTAAAATAATTATGTTGTGTTTTTTGCTGTTCATTTGCTGATCTACCTTCCTGCAGATTTTAGTTGCTATTCATTTCAAACACACCTAAACCAATTAATTAGGACCTGAACACCACTTGATAATTACAGGCAGGTGTGTTTGATATGGGTAGCAACTGAAATCTGCTGGAAGGTAGATATCCAGGAACAGGATTGAGCACCCCTGCTGTATACCATGGGGGTCAAACTCCAAGTTCCTGGAGAACTGCAGGGCAGCAGAGTTTAGTACCCACCCTGCTTCAACATTACCTGTAGATTTCTAACAAGCCTTAATTAGTTTGATCAGGTGTGTTTAATTAGAGTTACAGCTTAAAGTCCCGGTCACACTGCACTTTTCTCCCTATAGACTTCCATTCATACGCATGTGAGTACTGCAGACCTGGAATGATAGCTCATGCGACAAATTTCATAATTCGCAGCATTGGAAAGTTCAAGCTTGGAGAACGCTGACATGCGAAATCACATCATGTGATTGCTTGATACCAATCAAAGATCAGAACATGACCTCTCTGGCTTGCTTTTTCAATCTCAAATTATTTTGTTTAATTCCACTACTCGCTTTGTTTAATTCCACTTCGCAGTGCAGTATGACAGAATTTTGCTTGCTCAAATGTTAGTGTGACTGCAGCCTTACTGTGCAGACCTGTAATATGCAAGACAATATTTATATCTGCTGATTTCTTAATTTTGTTATACTTTTTCAGTTATTTATTTGTTTTCGTGCCAAAACAATAAAATAAATTAGTCTGAAAAATTTTATGCCTTCTATTTTTAAATAACAGCTAAGAATACTGATTAATTTTAGTAACACTACAATAACTATATATGACATACTATTAATGTGTATGCAGTATAATGCTGTGATTTGTAACACTACAATACAGTAATTAACTCTACACAGTTTCCAGTTAGTTACCACTGCTGCTCTATTACAGTAATTAACTGGCAACACTGTTGCCAGCTACTCCCTGTATCGGTTCAGTTACAGTAAATAACTGGCAACACTGTTGCCAGCCACTCACTGTAATGGTTCAGTTACAGTAGATAACTAGCAACACTGTTGCCAGCCACTCACTGTAATGGTTCAGTTACAGTAATTAACTGGCAACACTGTTGCCAGTTACTTACTGTAACCAAACTTTTACAGTGAGTGGCTGGCAACAGTGTTGCCAGTGTTCTACTGTAAAAAACCCCGGTAAGGTCTAACAGTGTATAGAGTTTCCTGATTTAAAAACATAAGTGAATTCACTCAATTACTATTCTCTATCTGCTTCTCAATTTAGAGCCTGCAACTTCTGAAGGATGTGGATTATGATGTGTGTCCTTTGACGACCAGGAAGCACTGTGAAATGAGATGGTCTGACCTACAGAGGACTGATTTCTTTGCCTAGTAATTATTGTAGCTGTCGTTCATGTGTGGCTTCAATGTATGTACTTTTGTCAAACTTATTTAAATGTAAAACTAGGTTCAAAAACAGTAAATATGTTCCTGTTGGTCCATTTATGAACCCATTTAGCATATATAAAATGTCTGTTAAACCACACCTTAGCATCATACACCAAAATTTGAAAGTGTTGTAAAGTCTAAACTTTTACATTGTCACATATCCAAAAAAAAACTGAAATGCTATACCACCATTTAAAAGTGGAGTCTAGAATTTTCTTTAAACACTGCCATTAGCACAAAATAAAGGCTATCTGGGCTGTGATAGAGCTACAATATCAGTTATAGTCTTCATTACTTGATTATAAAGGCCACATTTGGAGGACACACTTGAAGGGGTCTTCAAATTAAGACAACCTTCAACCTCCCATGATTGACACTTGGCCACCACAGCAACATTCTTGTTTGGCATGTTTGGGAAAAATAAAGCTAAATTAGAGTGACTGGAGACAACTATATTTGAAGTATTTGGAAGTAATTAGTATTTTCTTCCTGCAGAAATCATCATAAAAATATTGCTTAACATGGCTCACTGCATTCATTGCTTTTTAATAGGCCATACCCAGTAAAGATTATTGATGTAGTATACAACCAAGCACATGTTGTCAGAACACAACAAAATAGCTGCATTTAATGAAGTGCTGAGCGCTTCATTTAAAGAAAAACTGATCTGAGGAAAATTCAACCAGACATTTCTGACTCCCGCCCTGCCTCATTGCCCATTTTTGGTTACCCAAGAGTGATGTGCGGTCATCGAGATGACGAGACGACAAGATGGTGACAGTTGGCCCTGCCAACTTGCGGGTTAATTTGCATTCTTCAGAAACCTACGGGTGACGTCATAGAAACTACCTCCATTTTTTTACAGTCTATGGATTATACATGACAAAGGGTTGACATGTTATAATTAAAGATAACACAGACAAAACTAGGTTGTACATTCTAAAACTGCAACCATAAACAGAATCACAATACAAATATTCACAGCTCAACCAAATAAAGTAACACACTGCAAATATTTACAATAAAACCAATTAAAGAAACACAAATAATCACAGATGTTGTGCATTATATTTTAGTATGACGTACCTTGTTCCCCTTAGTTTTCTTGCAGTGCAATATAGAAGAGAGACACAGTTTAAATACTGGCAATATCATATTTGAGGTTAATGACACATGGCCATTGACAGTACATTTGTTTTTATATATATATATATATATATATTGTTATTCTAAGTTTTTCATAAATATCTTAAAATTTTCTCCCAACCATTCCACAATTTAAATAGGAACTGAAAGAAAGAAAGAAAGAAAGAAAGAAAGAAAGAAAAAAAGAAAGAAAGAAAGAAAGGCATGATTCTTAGCTTACTCAAGGAAGCGTGTGATGTATTCACGGCTGCACCGAGACCAGTTTGGTGGTGAAGTACCATACAAGAGCTGTGGAGACATGACGAAAGGCCTTTTCCCAATGGGCTCGCAGTCATTCCCGTTCCCATCATGCTGAATCCCAAAGCTATGTCAGAAGAGCAAAAAAAAAAAAAAAAAAAAAAAAACACACACAGTAAGAGAATGAGAAGACACTGCTGGACTGACTTCTGGCCTGATTTCACATTGGCTCAAAAACTGGTAATGTAACCTTTGGCTAAACAAAACATGGGGCAGGAGCAGTGTTGCGAAAAATAATTATTTAGCTTCATTTAATTTTTCATGTTACAGCTTGATTTAAAGCTTTCCCCACTATGTCCTTGGCCACATGTATTTTTTTCTGTGTACTGTTATAGTAAACATAATAAGTTTTATAACTGTGTGAAAACTGCACTGATAACGCAACGGGGTATATGCACACAAACGTTTCATTTTCAGTCAGCCAACTTCAGTCAGGAAACTTATAAAACTGAAAATAGTCACTTTAACCTCTTAACGGCAGTTTATCATAGGCTAAAGTACAGGCTTGTTATTTATAGTTATTTTATACAAACCTTAAATGTTTTATTTTGCTAGCCTAGTACCTATGTGTATTTTAATGTCTGAAACCTAAAATAAACATTATTTGTAGCAGCTGGTCATGTGACTAACTAAATAATCTAATCACACTGGTTTGATTGTACTCTCTAGTAACCAGTCTAGACTGATCACATCGATGTGAATATTTGCTCCAGTGACCAGTCTAGACTGATTACATTGGTGTGATTGAATGCTCCTGTTATCAGCCTAGATTAACCACACTGATGTGAATGTATGCTACAGTGATCAGCCTAGACTGATCTTACCAGTGTGATTGTATGCGCCAGCGACCAGCCTAGACTAATCACACCAGTGTGATTGTATGCTCCAGCGACAAGCCTAGACTGATGTAACGAATATGGCCGACCAGACACATAAAAAGTTTGCATTTTATTCCACAACCAGCCAACTTTGCCCAGAGAAGGCTCGAAACCTGATTCCAAGGTATTTACGACCCAAAGGCATTAAACACAGGAACAACTTAGAAAGGACTCTTTAAACTGCTTGTTTAACACTGACGTTTTCATATAAACTTTACTCTCTTTATGTTTAATCATATGTTTTGCAAAGTTTCCCTTTCTCTTGTATTATTATTTTTGGTTTTAATACCCTTGCATATAATGTTTAACTGTACCTAGGCTAAGCATCCTCTTATACTGTTCAAGTATACTTTTGGACTTTCGAAAAGCTTACTCGCTGAACAAATTGATAGTTGACAGTTTATTTTAATATGAGTGCAACATATTAATGTTTTAAGAGACTTTAACATTTTTGTTCTGATTTACATAAAATTTGCCTATGCAAATTAATCTGCCTCGGACAAAGACCCATAAATTTAATATTCCAGGAAGTTAGCTTCTAATTGGTCAACTTTCCATGGAGGGTGGATCCGAACCTGCCCTATAAAAGTTGAAAACCAAGCTAAACACCTTCTCTCTTGGAATCTCCTCTGTTCATACTCTCCTGGGATCGCTCTTGGAACCCCCTCTCTCTTCGCACGCACTCTCTCTGTTCAAACGCTCTTGGGATCTTCTTCAAACCTCTCTTGGAACCCCCTCTCTTCTTCACAACTCTCTCTGTTCAAACTGTCCTGGGACCTCTCTTGGGACCCTTTCTTCAAACACGTTGTTTTGAAACCTTCTTCAACTTTATACAACAAACCTAAGTATAGAAACCTCCAAGAAAGCAGGCAGAAGCCCAGACAGAAAGGGGTTAATCGGACCGCGCTCTGACATTTCACCGCCCAGAATGCTTTTTGCCGCTTCAACTTGAAACTACAACCTCATGAGGAACAAAGATCAGCCAACCAAAAATGTGCTTAACAATGGGAGCTCGGACATCACGAACAGACCGCAAGTATCACCTTTCTCCCAACATCTAAACTAGTGTGAACTAAATTAACCCTAAAGAGACAATAAAAGGGTTAAATTGAATTTGATTACGTTTGGTTTGAAAACGTTTGCTTCTTAACCTCTTCACAATTGTTACTCTCCCCTATGCTTGTATGAATGTGTGTTTGTGTTAGGTGTTAGTTTCTGTTAGATTAGTCAATAAAGTTTAATTTTGTATAAAAAGGTGCCTGTGTATATTAATGAATCTAATGTCTTGAACTTTGATCTTGCTACCCTGCTCAAATTTTATGTTGATAGCATCGCTGAACGATTCGTTTATTCGGATCAAAAGAGTCAATTCATTTGAAGCCCCGTTCAAATGAATCTTCCTCCCGCTAAGCTAGTTCGCTATATAATGTTCCAGAAGGTACACGAGCCTTGAAATCTGAATCATAACTCGCAACATTATAACGGCGGGAAAGGTGCGGGAAGAATAACCTTGAGCTAATTTACTACAGTAATAATAGTGTAGATATGAGAGCACTCTAATCTACATTATTATTATGATGTGCTACCTGTTTATTTGTGGAGAATAAACAAAGCATGCAAATGTAATTTATTACAGATATATTGGTGTAGAACGCTAAGCAAAATGTAATTTATTACACTGATAACATTGATGTGATTGTATTGTACTATTGTACTTGTTATTCAAAGTTTTTTTGCAAAGCACATGGTTCAGTAAAGCTAAATATTATTTAAGAATAAACCTCACTAAATGTTTGTTTTTAGACAATTATTAGTGTGGGAATATGAGAGATTTTAAAAATATTCTATATCTAAATATGCGGTCCTGCACGATTATACCTGTAATTACATCCTTATTTACACAGTTGACCATCCCTTACACCTTAACCCACCCTTAAACCTACCCATACCACCAAACCTGTCTAAAATTCTTAGCAATGCATATTCATTAATTTTTGATACATTCTTGAGAGGAATTTAACAAAATGTCTTCATTGAACATGATCTGTACTTAATATTCTAACGATTTTTGCATAAAATAAAATATTCTCACAGACAAATATTGAGCAGCAAAGAGCAAGTTTGTGTTGTTTTGTATTTGCAGTAAGTGTATATTAAGTAATATCAATACTTCACAAAGGGAAGGAAGTGACAGATATGAGTACCTCAGTATTACATTCAATAACGTTTCATTATAGAACTGATATTTTGAATTAGATCTAGACAAAAGTGCAAAAACTTCATTAAGTTAAAGTTAAATAACTTCTTTTTATATGTAAGTATTGATAGTAATGCCTAATGACTTTAATTAAATCAATGAAATTTAACCATTTTGCCACTGTTGTTGATTGTGGTGTTTATTATAATAAAGTAATAGGCATCTTTGTTAAGACAATTCTAACTGTAACTGATTTTATTTCAAGACAGCACCATAATTTGGTCAGTAAATCACTGTATAGAAAATGTACTAACCATAACATCAAAACTGAGCTACGTGCCAAACCATCATCTTTTTGTGAAGCGTTACACCCCAGGAAATTGTTTTGTCCTATTTTACAAAGACTGCTGTTTCAGCGATAGACAGAAACACAGCTCACTAGAGACCACCATTTACTAGGCTGACTTTTATGAGTCCCGCTGTGCTTGACTGTTTATCATAATATCATTGTTTATATTTCTATGTGGTGTGACCGCAAACATTTATAAAAGATGTGTGCGCCAGACCATATGGCATGAGTTCAAACAAGCTATACAGTAAGACTTTAATATGGCTACAATTAAATAGTCTTATTTATTAGTATGCTCCTGTTTATATATATATATATATATATATATATATATATATATATATATATATATATATATATATTCTATTAGTCTTCATAATCAAGGCTTGCATAATGAACTGGAACAAACACTGACGTATTACAAATGATTTCATATTATCTCATAAGGAACTATACAATAAATTACACAAATGTGAATGAAATATAGCTGAAAAGATAATGTCAGGAAAATGAGTAACTTTAAGCTGTAATTGGTAGCAGACCGTATTTGAAATCTCACTATCATGCCAATTAAATAAACGGGTTTATCTTTACACTAAAAAATAAAAAATAAGAAAGAAATGAGAGAATATGCAATCTGACTTATGCTCCTTGAAGTAAAATGTGTTACTAGAGTGTGTTTGCTAACAGTACAGAGCCAATGCATGTTTTATCAAAGTCACCTTGGCTTTGAGAAACACACAAAATGAGCAATTTCCATATGCAACACTGTGTCTAGTTTTGGCTGAGGTCTGCAGTCTGTATCGATTTCAAAATTGGGTCAGGAATATATACATACAGTTGAAGGCAGAATTATTAGCCCTCATGATTTATTAGCCCCCTCTATATAATTTTCCCTAATTTCTGTTTAACAGAAACAGTTTTTTTCTAACTATAATTTCTAATAACTGATTTTTTGTTTGATGATAGTACATGATAACTGACTAGGTATTTTTCAAGATGCCAATATTCACCTTAAAGTGCAATTTAAAGGCTGAATTGGGTTAACTAGGCAACTTAGGGTATTTTGGTAAACACTTGTATAATGATGTTTTGTAGTTGTAACCCAGTAGTTGTAAGAGTGACACAAACAACAGAGGTTTGGATCCAAATACAGGTTTAATCAGTAGTCAGGCAAGCAAAGGTCAAATACAGGTGCACACAGATATATGCAGACAGTCCAGAATCGTAGTCGAATAACAGGCAAGGAGGTCAGAAGGCAGGCGGCAAACAAGGACAAAAGGATAAGCTAGGCTAAGGTCAAAACACAGAGAAACAAGACAAGGAAAACACGTTGTGATGTCACTGTGGCAGATAACAAGACTGTGAATGTGAATGAATAAGTGTGCTGCTTAAATAGTGTGTGCAATCAGTCTCTGACAATCCTCAGGTGGTGTGAGTGTAATCAGTCTAGATGAGGTAGCATTTGTGAGTGTGAGCGGAGTGCATGTATGAAAATGTAGTCCAGAAATGGCGAAATTGTAGTTCATGCATGGTTATTGTGAATGAAGTCCAGCGATCTATTGGATTACGATCACTGGTTATTGTGATAGTAGTGTAGACAAACAATTAAACACATTGCTCTAAGTGGTTAAAAAAAAAAA